TATTAATTAAGTTAATTGTGCATTCATTAAGCTCTAATTCATTTGTGATTACCTAGCTCATATTCATCTCTCGATTCCAATACTCACTAGGCTGTGTTCAACAAATCCCAACATGTGCAAGTGACTCTCTCAAGCCTAAATCCACATATCTAAATCTTCTAATCAATCTTTCAATTTATTAAAGCATTAAGCAAAGAAGAACACAAATGTTTGGGCATGAAAAAATCAAATAGCATCAAATATTCATAGCATAATCGTAGCAAGGTTACATCAAATCCCCAAGCATAAAAATCTAGCAACCCATCAATGTAAACTCAAATATATTCAAGATTAAACAAATCTGAAAATACATGATAAATCCGTAAAAATAGAGAAAATACCTAGTCTAAGAACAAAAGAAAGGGAGAGGAAGAAAAATAAAACTCAGTGTAGTCCAGCTTCCAATCTCCAAGAGCTTCCTCTGATTCCCCAGAAAAACTAGGATTTTTCTCCTCTCTATCTGTTGCCCCCAAAAACTAGGGTTTTTCCTTTGTCTATGTTGTCTCAAAAACTCTCCTTTGCTCTCTATGTGTGTTCCCCTTTTTGCCCAACCAAATTCTATATGCCCCGAAAATGGCCTCAGCTCGCCAGAGCCCTCAGAGCGCGCGGCCGCGTGCTTGGGGGCCAGGGTGCGGGCGCGCACTGGTTCCCTGATGTGGGCGCGCGCTGGTTCCTTGATGTGGGCGCGCAGGCGTGCACTGGAGTCCCTGATGTGGGCGCGCGGGCACGCGCTGGAGTCGGGCTCCTTTTGACGTTTTTCTTCCAAGTGATCCAATTCTTCTTTGTTTACCTGAATCACTCACAAACATATTAAAACAACCTAAAAACTTGAAGATATTGCAAATTATTCAATTTTAGGACATTAAATAAGTGAGTTAAAACTCACTCATCAATAACAAATTTAGAATGAAGAGTTTTAAATGATATAAAAGTTTTATGCTTTTATTAAATATAAATCTTTTTATATGATTGTGGTAATGACTATGAAAAATGAGTTTACCTTACATTCTGTATCATTATGGTTCGTCGAGATGTTTGTCTATCGTTGATATTTGTTTGTTCAATTGTTTGCACTCTTGTGAGAACACCGATGACATATGTTAGAAAATAAATTGTAAATGTTAGAGGCATTAATTAATACATTGATGATGTTTTTTTTTTTTTGGAAAAAGTAATTTATCTTACCGGTTAGGATTTCAGTCGACTGAATTCTGTGTTGAAGCTGATCGAATTCGATGAAGTAAAATCTATGGAATGGAATAGGCGGCGCCTATTCTGTAACTGGAATGAAGACTGTTGCGCGGGTAAATTGTAGCATCGCAATATGTGGCACAACTTTGTATGTTGATTTGTTCTCAGTGACGAAGAAGTTGTTAATATCATATATGTTGCCTAATTGAATTTTTTCATAAATAGTATCTGAATCTCGTGCTCGAATTGATCCTTAAATTGCTTCATGCTGCAGATATAAACGGTGGTGTTGTTATTAGATTTATAATATTTGGTATTAAATGAAAAGTAATAAAGTATTATATTGGTTAAAAGATATTACCTCTTCGTCAACTAAAACACAATCAAGGCTGATCAAACGTCCAATGCTTAGATCATTGTTCATCCATAATCTACAGATTCTAACCCTGATAGTTTCATAAACTTCATTTGGTTTTAGCGCTCGAATTAGTGTCGTCATTTTGGCTAACTGTTGGCGGAAAAGTGGTAATTGTTTTAGTGCATAAAAACAAGAACCTTTATTTGATATGTTTTTGATAGATGAATAGTAAGCAATTTTGATTATAAAGAAAGATTATGAATCTAATACTTAATTTATTGTAATATTTGTATTTTTATATGGTATTTTATTTCTTTATTTGATATTATGTAGAATTTCTTTGTAAACGATATTTTTTATGTAATTTGGATATCTATTAATTGAATTATGAATTAGTATATGCAATCCTTTTAGAGTTGTAGCTCTTGATAAAGTGACATATAATTGTCCGTGAGTAAAAATTTCGCTATCCAGATATAATCCTATTTTATTTAAAGATTGCCCTTGGCTTTTATTTATTGTCATTGCATAGCAAATTTTAATAGGAAATTGTCATCTTTTTAGTGTAAATGACCATTTAGATTCATGTACAATCATTTATATTCTTGGAATATAGACTTTTTCAACATTGCTTGAGTTTATGATTTGTCCTTCTATAATTTTATTTGTTAATTGTGTAATAATGAGTCTTATTCCATTACATAATCCAATTGATTGATTTAGATTTCATAATAACATTATAGGTGTTCCTAATTTAAGTTTTAATTCATGTGGTGGTATTCCATTAAAGTTAAGAGTGTGCAAAAATTCTTGAGGATATAAAAGATTAAGTTCGT